GATTAGCATATCGCTTGATCGCTTTCTGAAATGCTACGTCATTCGACCCTTCGGTAAAGTTACGATTGCCTTTTGTAATATATTGCGTTAAGTTTATGGTCTTGTCATTTTGTCTCTTGTAAATGTTCGTCAAAATTTTGTCATATTATTTGCACGGTCTTCGGTCACATTTTTAAAATTGTAAATTCGTATTTAAATGATTTAAATTTAAAGGTTTAAAAGAATACACATATGAACCCACATTCGGTGAAAAATAGCGTTAACTTATTGAAATAAAAAGCATATACAAGAAAAGTTTTTAAATTCGATTTAAATAAAGAAAAATCTACAGATGATGAGCAAAAGATTTTTGTACAATACTCAATAATGACTGTATTTGGATTAACTTTTTTTACGCAGTAAATTTTTCGCCATTTGCGATGCTACCTAATTTTTCAAAGTTCTTGGGAACAAAGTAATTCGACAAAAGGTCGGTGAAGAACATTGGCCTAAAATAAGGTTAACGATTAATGCGAGTACTGCGGAACTTTTGACATTTATTTGAGTTCAGATAGTTTGAGTTCGGGTCAGACGGGTTAAGTTACACAAATCCTCAAGAATCTATCATTCAATAGATAGTTCTATATGATATTTAAAGCGAATAAGGCAGACAATAAACTTATTAATATATTAACAGTCAAAATTAATCGATGTTAAATGTTTTTTGCTCATCCAAAGTATTTTAAATCAATTTAGGTTAAATATAATTCACGCGACTTATTGTGGGCTTATTAATCATTATATTTTCATGTAATATTATTATATCTGTGTTTTATGTTCAATTTAAAGAGATGTTACTGTTAATATGTGTCATTACCATTTTGAACAGATGTTAACAGCTGGGTTTATTGCTATGACATCATATCGTGGACACGGCGATAAATTAGCGTGTTTTAAAGCTTGATTGCTTTTTGGGTATATCCATTATTTTCTATTAATATTGTCTTTTTAATAAACTTTTTTTAGCCTGTAATTCACTACTGATCAATGTTTCGCTTCATTGGTGAATTTGAAACGTGAAATAAATCCGATATCTTTTTCCTTTTTTTTTATACCAACTTCAAGTTCTTTCCATGTAACGACTTCTGTTCTATAATATTATAAAAGTCTCAGTGGACAAAGTCATAAATCTGACATCTATAAGTAAAACTTGCGGGTTGACTGTCGTATAAAATTTACTACCGACCCTCGACCTCTCCAGCTCACTCCTGCCCACTCCTGCTCACTTTATATCGATGTCAGCAACAGCTGCTGCAGTACTTTTACTGACAAGATTGTACTCAACTTTGATGTTATTACTTTTATTGTCTGTCTGTTATCAATCCAATACCAATCGTTTTTTCCACAAACATCTGTATTCGTAACAGCACGATTTCATTTTGAATTTGAATTTGGAATGCACACTTTTTTTCTGTTTTTTTTTGCATTGATTGCACTGATCTCAATAAATGGATAGGTCATTGTTCTAAGTTCCTACTTTAATGTGTTTGTTAAAGTTCCTGATAATTATTTCTATCGCTTTTATTAGTTCCAATCATCACCACCGCAACCGTCAGCGCTAAAATTCAAATAGGCACATAATACCGTGGTTTATAACCTGTCCATACATAAAGGTCAATGATAGATTACTATTAGTTAAATTGTTTCAAGTTTTGTCAAGTCTTTGATTAGTTAATAGACGTTCTGCGTAACCTGTTAAAATTAGTGAAATGTAAGCGTGTTAAAGTTAACTGGTATTCAATATAGGTAGTCAGAGTCAGGAGATGTCTGGTCAATTTGTTACAATCATTTCTCGACGCGAAATAAATGACGTCCTTAGACTGGAGTTAAGTCGGCGACATTAGCCATTTGTCAGTCTATGGTTCGTTAAGTTTTACTTAAATTAACTATTTAACAACAATACAAAGAGTAAAGTAACATAATGTTTACTGCTTGAATAAATAAGTTTGTTGATAAAAGATTTGAAAAATATATTTCGTTCTTTATTTTATTGCAGTTGGTAAACAAATCTATTACTTTAAAATATAGTAAAATCTTGTTAAATAAAAGATAAAAATAAAAGCAGAGCTACATAACTTGTATTCACATAAGTAAAATACATGTACAAATACATAAAGTAAGGTGAGTTACAGCTCCCCCACTAACATCATGGCTCCTTGAGGACCAAACTGATTTAATGTTCCACACTCCAGATACCTCTTTTATTTTAAAATCTAAAGGATAAAGTTTTGGTTCCCAAGATTTTGTTTCTTGTGTAAATACTTGGAACTATCCTGTTTATCAAAGCTTCGATGTCAAGAATGAATAATATACAACATATAATAAAATAGAATACAGTATATAAGAAAATATATAAAGTTGATCATCGCTTCAGTATATTCCGTGGCTTCTAAGAAACTGTTTATATTATGTGGGATTGTTTTTGTAAGGCCCTTTGTACACGAGGCAAAGTAAATCGTCGAAACTAATATTCACGACGTTAAATCTTTGCGAGCCGTCAATTCGATCAGTACAGGCATAACGACTACATGTCAACTGTATACTGCTCCGCCATCTTGAAATTGCATCCAGTTTTCTCACGACACTCTTGACGAATAGGTTGCGAACTGATGTCTTCGGCGATGACAGAAAAATCGGCAACGCGCACTGTATACTTTTAGCCAAGTGTCAGATTGATTAGTGAGGGGACATAAACATTGACATTTTGTAAAGGCTAGTGTTGTGCCGATAAACCGGTACAATGTCGGATTTTCTTCCTAACACGTTACCAAACTTCAACATTGTATTGAGTCGCTTAACGACTTAAATAGCCTGTTTTGGAATGTCTACGTTACCTTGTGTACCGAGGACTTTAAGGTTATGAAATAATATTAAATGTAACTCAAACATCATAAATAAATATGAAAAAATACCTCGATGGTAAACAACTAAATATGCATTACTTTGATGTTGTAAAAGCTAAGGAAAATGTGTTTACAATTTATAAAAAGCAAAATTTCTAATATCGTGTATTTTGTTTGCAGACCGTTTTGTAATTCATATTGAGAATGTTGCCATTATAAACAATGTTTGCTTATATTTACGCCGCTTCTAAATATTTTATTACTAACGCAATTTATATTTGGTTGTGCTTTGCTCGGTTTGACTTTTCAGAACGTTCGCGCCATCCACACCAAGGGCGAACAACGATCGAGAGCAGTAGGATAGACCAGTATTTTTTCGTTAGTAACAGTGCGTTCATTACCAGTACTCTATTATCCTGCTCTGCCTCATTGTTCTCTTGTGTGAAACTAGCATATTCTGAGAGTGGTTGAGACTGGGAATGCAGCTGTTTCTTGGATTATAACCGCGTTAATATATCACAAGGTGTTAGCTATCTGAAGACGGGACCGTATTTTGTAGTCCGGCTCGAAGGACCAAGATTTTCAATTTTGTTATTTTCAAATCATTCGTGGAAACAAAATTATTGTTGACTATTTCGCTGCATAAGTTCCTAAAGTACATCTAAAATTTTATAACTTTAATGACTAAGAATAACTTTAATTAACTTGTTATAAAGATCGTAGATTTTGCTGCTTCCTTTATATCAACGTAACTGCTCGTATTTTTACTTGTTTCTCTATTCTTTTGTGTACGAGATTTGTTTTATTTAAGACATAATATTCTTATCTAGTTTATTCTATACGAGTTATGTCCGAGCTGTATACTAAGACGTCTTTATGTACTATATTGCATCATTAATGACATTCCTGATGACCTAATAAACTCTGAACGCGCGATTCTTAATCGCTCTGCGGTGTGTGGTCCTGCCCTATACCGTCGTTATTGTGCTGTAAAAGCCTGCCGTAAATGTAGCTAGTTAGCCTCCATACTATATGCACAAGTTTCCTTTTATGTATATACAATATATTGTTAAATATGTCACTACATTCTTTGTATCTTATTTATGTATATTATATATTGTTGAATTAATTTTATAATTATTAAATGTATAATAATTCTTAAAATTAACATGAAAATAGGAATTATTTTTATTTTGTAAACAGTAAAACAGTTGCAACAGTTATAATAATAATCATGTATATTTTAGTCGCTATTTTTATGTTAATTCATAAAACATCGTAAAACAGCTGTTTTTATCTTTAGCTTCGCCTTCACCTACATCAGACGTGGCGTCCGGCCGCAGCGTCTATTCGGCGTCCGGCATCCGCCTGTCCGGGTAACGTCTTGGGGTCAGTCGGTAAACAGATTTTAGGACAGCTCTATTGATGTGTTCTCTTTACAATTAATCTGTGGTTTGTTTTAACAACTAAAGCTGTATGCGTAGAAAAAAATTACTAGGTCTATTGTTAATTCTTTTCTTTTAATATGATTTAATGGTTTTTTTATATTTCGATACATAGAACAACTAAATTCTATTTTATGACATTGCCCGACTAGTAATGACGTGACACGGCACGTGCCGACCCATCCTGACTACACGCCAGCAATGCGCAAATCCAATGCGGCCTTCACAAATATTTCTGACATGACAACCCCACCTCACCTTTGTACCTTTTTTTATTAACACATAAAAATCATACAAAGCTTTATTTTAATGTGCATTTATTTCTTCATACTTTATACAGAAGGCTTTGGCGCATTTTGTGATGACACGAGTGCGGAGTGCGCCAAACTAAGACAAATTATGCCAAGCGCCATTCTTATTGTGTCAAGACGAGAGGTCGAAAAATAGTGTCTAATACAAGCTTTGCGAAATTATCATACTTCAATATTTAAAAAAATAGGAAAGAGACTAAATTCGAAACATAATTAACTGCTCAAGTACTTTCTATAAACAATTTGACGTAACATTATGAATTCAATGAGTTATTAATACACGTGACAATTTGTTCTATGTTTAAATAGATACATTAATTAATATGGAATTTAACTTTGGGAATACTTTAATAAAACATTAATCCATCAAATGTTTATATTCATGTATGTCTACAATGAAAACGCATGGTTACAGTTACTAACATATCTAATAACCTGCGCTGGGCGCAGGTTCTGCATTCAATTTGTCTTTGTCCTCAGATTTGTAGAATTTCTCGTCTGCAGATCTTTTAAAGATGTGTGAATGTAGTCGATGATGCCTGCCCAGACCGCCCAAGTTTCGTCCGAATTCCGCTCCCACTCTTAAGTATGGCATGGCTGATGTGAGCGCCAGACAGAGAACGAGAACAACCTACAATCAAAGATTTTTAACCGTTAAATGAAGTGGTCTAAACAAATTCGTCATTCAAAAGTGAAGGAGATTTTCTGTCTTCGCGCGCCGAAGCATAATTTCCGTTTTTTGACACACTCGAAACATTCTTGAGCATATGTTATAAATTGCAATCACCAAAATATTAAAATTTGTATCACGAGAAATCTCTTAATTTGTGCTACTTGATGGCGAAATTACGCGGGAAATTTATAACCTAACTATTTTTTCACGTCATCTCTTATATGTCATGCTAAAAGTTTATTTAACGGTATTTATAATATGAATAATAAATTCTCAAACTGACTATTTAATAGTATTGTATGTATGGATTAGATAAAATATAAACTTACCAAATACTTCATGTTTGTTTCTCTCTCACTGACAATGTAACAATGATGATCCAAACTTAGCATTAGTTATTTTATAAGATTTTATATTAATGACTTCAATCATTTGGGGCTTAACATATTATTAATTACCGCAATATGTATTTTTAATGACGGAATATTTTATGAAACTCGTACATTTTGATATTTTATTAATAATATTAATAATTATTCTGTAAAACAATCCTATAAAATTTATACTTTAAATACGTCAGAAGAACTAAAAGACGATTGGAAAATATGTGAACTTAATAATGTCATCTTGACAGCGTCATATTTCGACCAATAGGAGGGCGGCAGCTGCGCGGTTTAATGTTGCCATTTTCATAATTTCGAAATTACATAAAATATCGCTCATGATGTAGGTTAATTTAGTAACATGTAGGTTAATTTTATATATTTTGATGAAGGTTTCAATTTAAATAGTAAGGAATTACTACAAGATCTCGGATGACAAGTTGCGAATCGTTTACATGGAGTTACAACATGGACGAGTTTTGGAAGAAGTTAGGAGATTTTTACTCATTGTTAACCCTTAAAACATGTAGGAGCCCGCCTGTCAATGTAAAAAACTGCCATACGACCCTTGTAGGGCAGTGATGGACACTAAAGAATAAATAAAATTTTTATTTTTTTCCTAAAAATGTCTACTTTACAGTGTTAATATAATATAAAGTTAAGGTTACCAGCCATATCATACAGATATTGGTGAAAAAGAAAATTTCGGAAATTTGCCATAAAAACTGAAATATTAACTTTGGTAACACAATAACACTTTCAAAACACAATTGCGACGGGGTGAGGGCTAAATGCTTACTTATATAAAGTTATGGATTTACAACTTCCAAGGATAGGCGTGCCCCTAGAAAACTAGTGCCAAAGGGCTTGTCGAAATGTAATAAACTGTAATACAGATCAAGAAATTATCTGTTATCAAAATAAATACTAGAAAAACTCTGCAATAATATACATAATCTCAATTTTAATATTTGATAGTTAATCTCCATCTCAAAGTGTGGTCTAAAAGGAGTTAACTCTTTACATCATTATAGATTTATTAGCCTTTTCCCTTATTTGTTTTGGATAGTGAAAGTAGGAATATTTTACTTCTAAACAATTTGTGTTATTTAATCCTTTCCTATTTATTCGATCTCGATGGATATTTTACTCTTGTTACATAAGCGACTTAATTGCTAAGAAATGAAAAAAGATATTTGAAAAACATTGTTTATTTCCCAAGCACCATGATATTTAATATTTAGAGTTATTGGGGAATTAGCCGTACATGGCTTTAATAATGGTAGACGCTACGCGCATTGCGGTAGCCCCGTTCGCCCTTCTCGTAGCCCGCGTCCTCGTAGCCAGCGCCCTTGCTGGAACCGAAGCCGCCCTTCTGACCGCCCTTGCCCGCGTTCACCTTGATGCCCTTGCTACTGCCCCCGGCGCCGCCCGCACCCTTCGCCCACTCATCCTCAGACGCGCTGCCGATGTCTTTTTCCGATTTCACTACCTAAAAAGAAATTATATTACATTTAAAACTGAAAAACATTACCGTCTTGTCATTGGGTATAACAAATAAAAAGAAAGGTAATCTGCAGTATGATCACTGACCACAGTGCGTGTCTCCTTGTTATAATCCTGCCTCCTTTCCGCGCCGGACTCCCCGGCAGCTCCTCCGCCGGCCTTGGAGTCCCGTGCGGAACCACCGGCGCGGCTACCGCCCCGCCCGCCCCCGGCAACGTCTAGGCGTCCCGCCTGACCCAGCCGGCTGTCAGCCTCCCTGTACGCCCCATCTTCGTGGGACGGCATTGCCGCGGCGACGCAGACCAGCACAGCAAGAACCTGTAGCACATATAAATTTGTGTTAAACTCATAAATAAAAGTATAATATTTGTTTCATAAATCTTATAAAGGTGTATAAAAAGTCACTCCTTTTGAGATACAACTCATCCTGTTAAATACTCTCTTCGGCAGGAGCATAACCGTGCCTCCAGATTACGAATCATTCGTCTACAATTTTTATCTTGAGAATTCAGGATAGTAGGATAAATGTCTAGAAGGAAGACTCACCAAGTAGTATTTCATGTTGAGGTTGTTCTTCGCACCGAATGGTTTGATGACAATTGGACGCTAACATTCACTTATATATGAATTGTTTAATTACAAAACACATTCAGTAATATTATCACTATCTGTATTTATATTTAACAATAGTTTAATTATTTGATAAGGTTTTTATTTTGATGGAGCAGCGACATGAAGCATTCACCTGACACACGCTACTTGGGTAGACAGTATATACGTCTTTGGAGTTATTTGTTTAAAATTAATTTCTTTATATTCTTCTGATATTGTATTATTACTTTGAATAAAGCGCATAATTTAAATTGAACTCGGTTTTACAGTAAAAATTTAATTAGCTATTAGCCCTTTTTGAATGCCTTTGTTATTTGTGTGTTTCTAAAGTTTCTCAACTTTAAAATTTTCTTATTTTTCTACATTTTTGGCAATTCTTAAGAATTTATCTTTTTAGGTTGATTTTTTTTAAGTATTTAACTTAAATTATCAAATGACCTCAATTGAAACAAAAATTTGGACTGATTTTAGGGTTGCGTACCTCATAGGGAAAAAAACGGAACCCTTCTAGGATCACTTTGTTGTCCGTTCGTCTGTCTGTAAAGATCCTTTTTTTAAACATATGTCTGAAATACTAAAATGTTATGATGGCCTAGAGTCTAAACTAATAAGTTGATTTGATCAGTGAGATGTCAATCGATTCGTCTTCTTTCCCAGGGAGTGTCATATTACATCGACACAAAACACTTATAATAGACGTGAGATAGAATCCTATAAAAGCACTAGAAAAACGAGTTCGAATCTGACTCGACATAACTTTTTTTTTTTTCAAAATTTTCGATGTTTTCATTTAAAAAATGTTACATATGACATTACAGATTATTTAATAATATAATTCTTTGTTTTAAATCGCAGACAACAGATGGCGTTATTTCATCTATTACTAACTTAGTCGGTTTTTTATTTTTTATAACTAATTTTAGGTTATATAACATCTGTTTTTTTCAATAAAATAGGCACTGCATCAGCAATCTTCCAATTTAATGTCGATTTCTATGGTTAAAGATCCCTTTACTTAATTTTCGACTAAGTATGGTAGTTGGTATAACACGTTTCAGTAAAAAAGACCATCAAATAAAACATTAAATGATTTTACAGAATTTATTTTCTCATGACAAATAATACAATGTCTTTTTAAGCTTAAAACAGTTTGTTGTGTCGCTTGTGTGTAGTTATAGTTGTTATTCTACTTTGGTACATCTTTTCCAAGCTTCAGCGGCAGCCGGGGAGTATTACCTTTGTCCGACTTGGTATCTGTAAATAAAATAAATTCCAGCTTGATACCTTCACGCGTATTTGAGAAAAAAGGTCTTGACAGACAGACCGACGGACAAAATGGATCCTATAAGGGTTCCTTTTTTTTCCTATGAAGTACGGAACCCTAAAAATAATGATTGTATACAAATTCATATATTTTATCATAAATGTAATGAAAACTATTATAAATACTTGAAAACTTTTTTCAAACAAGTAAGACAGATGTTCATTACTTCTTTACTAATGTAATAAATGCGAATGTTTATTAGTACGTTATTTTAAAAAGGCTTAACCTGATTTAAATTTAAATCAGGTATACACTATAGTTTGGAATAGCCCGAGTTTTGTTTTTAAATAACCAGTATTACCTTTGGGCAGTTTCTTCTTGAATAGGCTTGAAGCTGCCTTCGCCGTTAGACCTTTGACCAAGAGTTTGCCAGCTCCAAGGAGACCTTTCTGTCCATCAATGCCTATTTTGACGTCGGTATTCAGTTCTCCTATAATGGGCAGGTCCAAGCTCGGTATTAGACTTAGTTTTAGTGCTGCGTTTGTCCCCGACATGCATAAAACGAAACATATTAATGCTACAACCACCTGAAAACAAATTATACGTCTTATTTTTTATGTATGTATTTTTCTTTGAGTTAAAGACATCCTATCGTTTTACTCTTCATTAACTTAAATAAACATTGACCATAAACAATAAATCTATGGACATTATAATGTGTCTTTAGTAATTTTAACGTTTAAAAATGTTTACTTACAGTAATCTTCATATTGAAGTGTTCAATATTGAACTGACGCAAATTCATTTTCTTTAGCTGTATCTTTTATTTTTTAGTCATTAAAAACCCATTTTAACTGTTTGATAAAGTTATAAATGAAGAAGCGATATCTTCTATGTTATGTGTTTTTAATTGATTTTTAAATATCAAAATAATATTAAATAGACTACTACAATACTTGAATTTACTACAACTAATTTTGCTTTTATTACTGGCAATTATTAAGTTTTCTAACCAAGTTAAGACTTATTTTATGCGTAAGTATACGAAAGTGTGACGAAAAGATTCAACGTATTATAGCCGATAACAAGTAGGCTTGCATTAACTTTTGTTAATTTTTTTAGTTTCAAATATCTTTGTACTGAATAAAAAGTCCATATATAAATAAAAAAGTTGGATTTACATTTCCATTAGCAGTAAAACCTCTTAGTTGTTATGAGTTAATTCCATTTCGCTATAATGTTTCCGATTCAAATATTCCGTGTTAATTAAAAGTAATTCAAAACTCTCGTGCAATCGCGCTTTATTATAGAATGACACGTTTTGTTATAACTTCGCGTTCAATCAACAAGCGACGCCGACAACACGTTCAACGTAAAGTGATTAATTTAGAATATCGATTCCAACGTTTATTGGAATTGAACTCGATTCAAACGCAAAATCCAATCAAAATGTTTTTCGTTTATTCAGTTCTCTATAGAGGCGCCTACGAAAAATGCAAAGGCAATATGTAAACATACAATATTGCTAATGCGACTTGTTAATGATTTTAGTTATAATAAACGAAAAAATTGTAACAATCAAGTTTTATAATACTTCTCTATCATATAGTGTTTCCATGTGATTGAAAATAAATACATTTCAGATGTCTAAAAGGTGAAATTGTATGGTTAATTTAGAAATAAAGTGAGGTCATTTATCAGAGGTTGGGCCTAGCGGTCGCTCAATCTGGAAACACGTTCGGAGAGCGTTAAATATAGTGTCGGCCATTTGATACGGTCTCTGAGAGGCATGGAGATCGATTGGCGACCCGGCACGGCACCTTTCACTTCGCTCTTTACGTTTAAAGTTATCTTTATGTCATGTAAATTTGGAATAAGATGTAGGAGGAATTGACGTCGAGAGAGAGAATAAATTTTGGAAACTATAGTTCACGGACGAAATATTCCAACTCTAACCACTTTCTGTTTATCCACAAAATGTTTAATTCGTGCGATAGAATGATTATTGTGCTTTGTTTGATGATCGCAAAGTACTTAAAAGAATTTTCGGATCGAAGGATCTTTACGTTTTTTAGAAGATGGCATATACTTTAAAGTGTTAGAAATAGAAAATAGCTGAAAGTATTGAGTCTCACGTATCGGCTGTTAGCAACATATTGCAAGTGGAAATTGCAATTTTTCGCGGAATTACATTTAGCTTTGAGCTGTCGGAGGCTGGCGTCAGGGGGCGCTGCCGGCCGTCTCACTACTACTCAAAAATACATTGATATACAATCTAATGTTAGTTACATATTGTTATATTTAAACTTATCACAGCGCTTTTTACATCTATGTTGTTTTTTAATAAAGAATTAAAATAATAATTTTATTAACGTCAAAAATAGTCTCGTTAAAAGAAATCTTACTCTAATAACCGAGCAATTATTATCAATGTTAAGTTAATCTGACTGCTTGATCGTAATAAGGACGTTTAAATGCAAATGTTTGTCAGTATTTTCTAATATCCGTTGTTGGAACAGGATAGCGATCATTGAAATTACATTTATATTTTATATTTCTTTATTACAGGCTCTTTATTAAGTTAAACGTATATTTTTATACTAATAATCCGACAATGTTAACAATTTAAGCATTTCTAATACTACTATTATTTCTCAACATCCTGTATGTCTTAAATCAAATAAGGACGATGATAAGTGGAAGAGTTTCTTCAACTCAAAATCTCTTATTTCCCGAGCCCGTATCCCTTAACTTTTACTCATTATCATTAAGTTTCTGCTTAAGTATTGCTTCGGTACTCAAATTACTTATTAACTAGGAAACTGTATAGATATCACGCCAAATGGTAAAGTATTACCATAGTTTTAATGATTCCATGCAAAGTTATCCTATATTTAGTAATAAATAGCTTATGTCACCCGAGGATAGTCTAGCTTCTTAGCAGTAAAAGATGTTTTTTAAATTAGTTCAGTAGTTTTCGAACATATTCAATGCAAACAAAAAACCAAATATTTTCTCTTAATAATGTTAGTATAGATTAGAAGTTATATTACACATTTGACGCCATGTTTTATTTTTAAATATGAAAAAAAATGATTTATTTGTTTGAATGTTTGTTATTTCATTTACAAAATCATCTAAAAAAAAAGAAAATTGATTTATAACATCTAATACAGTATTATTACTATCCTATTTATTTCTAATAACATTAAAAAAACCGATAATTTGATTTGATGGATGGATGGAATTTACTAAACGGCTAACTCTAAAGTGGTCGAATGGATCTGAAAAAAATTGCAACATATATACAATTATAGGTCACATACTAAGATTGTTTAATTCCGTGCAAACGAATTCGCGGGCTAAAGCTGTAAAATAAGGTACAATTTAAAAGGTTAACAACCTGATGACGTCATAACTAATGCTACAGATACACTATTTCAACTTGATCAACATGCGCTCGCTGGCGTATTGGCGACGACCGTATTCGGTTGGTAGTGGGTTCGATCCCCGGTGTATGCATGTCACACACAGAAGAATCGGCATCTAACGTCGGTTCGTCTGCAACTCCATGCTATATCAATATAGGAGGGATAGTTTACGCTATTCTAATTAATAGAGTCGTGTTGTGTACACTTCCTACATCTTTTGTTCTCAGACAATCTACCATTTTTGATAATTATAGTAATTTTAACTTTCGTTATTTATTTAGAGATTTCTTAGAAAAACATAATATATTTTTAAAAAGTAAACAGTTTTTTATCTTCTTTATTTATTGTTAAACACTAATACGAGCACAATCGATTTCGTTGTTATCCTGTTCCTATCACATTTTGACATCTCTTCGCGCCTAAATCTCCTAGTTTACTTTTTTTTTAATATCTTTTTTATCTGCTTTGGTGTGTGTTTTCGGTGGCCAGTTTACATTAAAAATATAACATACTTATATAATTATCTTTTTTTTATTATGTTGTTATAAATTGACTATTATTCTGTATAAACGATCTAATTAATATGAAATATTTTATTGCGGTTGCGATTATTTTACAAGCGCCATCTATCGGCTAATAACTTTAACATTTTTTCATCAGATGATAATTTATATAAAGTATCATTCTGAATACTTAAAATTGAATAATTAAAAATAAAAAGGTTACGTGATGATCAGTTCGGATATCTATAAATAGTATTTCGGCGAAACCTTTTGCACAAATTACTGAGGCGACCGTATCCCCACCTGAATCCTGCGCAGCGCCATCTGTTCGTCGAAAAGGTAATCACAGATTTACACAGAAATAAATAAGCAAGACATGAAAATAATTATTATGAACTTTTTAAAACATTATTTTTTTAACGTTATCCAAACCGAACCAATTTATAGGTAAATATCATTTTATTAGAAATCTCACGAACGTTTGTTACAGAATTACTCAAGTATTTCTGCTTAAATTTTTTAAATAAAAATAATTTTGTATCCTACGCGAAGCTAAGATTTTATCTAGTGCTGTCCCACTCGGCTTATGTACAGTTTATTGCAAACTATTTGCAGTATTTTGTAGGTTGGTAACACCGCTCGTTACCTCGGTTACCTGTTCGTTACCTCGCAGTTACCTCATCGTTTCGTGCACCTTCTCTTGGAGTCGCGCCAACATCTGTTTCCAATTTATAAGGGATTTGTTTGTTATACATTACTACAAAGTTTACACTTGAAGTAACATAGAAGCAATTTTTATAAACTTTTGCTACTTTTACTACAAATATTTATAGGCTTTCTAAAGTATCATCAAGAATTTACTATTACGGAATTTATTTAGTACTGCAGTTTAATTGACATCTAGTACTGTACTAACTGTGTGTTAATACATATTGGCATCTCGTTTATTCTCTTTGACAAAAGAGAGACAGCAATATATCTTAGTACAACCGTGAGGCGATGTAGTGTTGCAGTTAGGGTTGCCACAGAATAGTGTTTATTGGTTACGTAATGTACTTGAATGTTAACTTAAGTTGATTAACAAACCTACTCTACGGATAAAGTTATTAATTACTATGTTATTAATTTTACAACAGTAGATATTTAATTAGCTACCACAGCAGTTATTATGTGAACATTAATATCAGTCCGAGTTAATAGCGTTTCTCTTAAATACAGTTTCATATTTGAATTAAATTAAATGAATTGTTTTATTTATTTTCGGTGTTCAACCCTATCATATAACATACTGGCAACTAAAACTAAATAAAAAAGAAACTCAATATCTCAAAATTAAAAACGGCAAAATGAATTAAGAAGGTTTGATTTTTTTTCATCGTAATAACATAATTTTATTTGCATTTTAATTTCCCAGTTACGTCACAGTGATAAATGCACATGTTTAGTATATTATGTTAAGTATCAAATGAATGTAAAAAAAAAAGTAAACAGAAGTAGTTTATTCCAAATTGTACCACAATAAGGTACATAGAGATAGAGTTCAATTTTGTCAAATGTTACGATATTTTTGCACACCTTGACTGCTTAGTTACTTATGACGCTGTGTATGTACCGATGTATTTGAGCAGGGTGAATGTATCTATTAATTTGAGGACTTTTGTTGTACCGATATAATTGATTACTTTTGGTGTACCTATATATTTGCATATCTTGTCTGTTACGATATATATGAAGCTGACTGTACATAGAGGAAACACCAAAATATATGGATATTATTAATATAATCCAAGCCTAACGAGCTTTGCGGAATCGTAATTATACATTTATGTTAATATATGTGACTTTATTTATATATGTTATGTATATACTGACTGATTTATATAATTATTACAATCTTGC